GGCTGACCTACACAAGACCAGACATCAGCTTTGCAACAAAAGAACTGGCACGAGACCTACAACAACCAACACAACAAAGCCTACGCAAGGTGAAGCACCTTCTACGATACCTCAGGGGAACACAACACTGCAAAATGATCCTGAGGACAACACATACACCACAAACAACGGAGCCCATCGACCTCAACATTTATGTCGATGCGGATTGGGCAGGATGCCCAAGCACAAGAAAATCAACAAGTGGATTCATCGTGACAATGATGGGTCCGTGGTACAATTTGGAAGCAGAACACAAGCAGTAGTAGCACTATCATCAGCAGAATCAGAGCTTTATGCAATTGGCACAGGAGCACAAGAAGGACTACATATAGCAAACTTCATCAAGGAAGCAACAACAACAAAGGTGAACATTCGCATACATACCGACAGCACAAGCAGCAAGAGCATAGCAACAAGAATTGGCTCATCAAAGAAAGCAAAGCACATTGACCTAAAGTACCTCTTCATACAACAACTGGTGCAAAGCGGGATCCTATCAATACACAAGATAAGCACACATGACAACCCAGCAGACATACTGACAAAGTATGTCCCGGCAGAGGTGCTTAACAAACACCTCTACCTGGCGGGCATTCAATGCCCACAACACCACAATTGAACGACGATCGTACAAACAGTTTCACAACCTTGGCAGCATCTATGCGTGTACAATACACACACGGGGGGCATCAAGCCATGGCACACTACTTTAGCTACTATGTGCATACTATGTCATAGACAATATGTACTACAAGATCTTTAGTCTCACAATGGGCCCGACTTTCCTTTCCGTCGTTTCGGAGAATGATTCGATGAGCAATGTGTTTGAAGTTTTGCTTTCAGAACTTGGATGACAATGCATGTTTGGTTGACAGTTTGTCGACAACTTTTTGACCGCAGCCGCTTCCCAGCTCACGAGCGCTGACAATCGGGATCGACTATTCCGAGGACAGTTTCATGGGCAACAATGGCCATGGAGATGACGATTCCAGACTTTCACAATCAGCGTCGACTTCCCACAAACTCGACAATCTCCTTGTGGGAGGACCGAGCAGTCCTATACAATGAGAACAATATGGAGAAGCCAGAAGATGAAGAAGAGGAGAAAGGGACAAAGCGTCCCAGACAATCCTCAGAAGCCCATGAGAGTCAGATGGACGACATGAAGGGCTAGAACAAAGGTCCGACGATCTGCAGATCTCTAGCAATGACAATGCCATACGTGCACCACGATGAGAAGGGCAACAATGCTGGAGAGACAATGGCAGAAAAGCTGTACAGACTTGCCTACAATGCCTGAACTGTTTATGTACAATAATGTTCCTTTACTGTTTCAACAATGTTTGTAGTGATGGTGTGATTCAACAATGAATCAAACCAAGGGACGGTGTCAAGATACAACCTTCTGTACAATTGCATGTTTACTCCATCGTTCTGTTCATGTACAATTGCCTGGTGCTATACAATGCACCTTGGATCAAAGGCCTTGAGCCTAGCCTAGCCTAGCTCAGCCTAAGGACAGTTGCCAGAGGAAAACAATACAGAGACGTGCACAAACAAACGACAAACAAACAGCTGCTGAATTTTACAGGACGGAGGGAGGGAGGGAGGGAGGGAGGGGGGAGGGAGGGAGGGAGGGGGAGAGATTGACAGACACAAAAATAGAAGATATAAGCAATCCCGATGCTGTTGGGGCACCGCGAAATGGGCCCACCGAGAGCAAGCGGCCGTTGAGGGATGTACCTGCTGCAGCCACCTGAGGGGATGAAAAAGCGACGAACAATTTCCATATCGGTATCCGGGACAAATCCATCTGTCATTGTCCAACTGCTTCCAGCCAGTGCAAACTGGCATTGACTAAGAGTTCTGGCCTTCAAGTGTGCCAAATGGGCTACCCGGCTACCCGAACAATCTAGGTGGCTCAATCTCAAACGAACATGCATTGTATGAGTGGACAACTTATTGGGGGAATCTGTGTGCATATATGGGTGAAATGAAGGTACGAATGTACGGAGAGATGCAGTGTGATTGTGTGTGACTCACTACTCTCACTTAGTGTGGCTTGAATTCTCTTGAAAAAATGACTTGATTGTTGCAAAGCATTGTGTCATGATCCATGGTGCCTGTGCCAGGTCAGAGCTGCGTTGGTTTGCTTTCGGACTTCAGGATTCTTTGTGTATGCTGCAGTCCGATTGAGTAACTTCGTTGAATCCGCTACATGCTGGATGATGCAAACAAAGAGGGAACACTTGGTAAGAAGGTGCAAGTAAGTCGGGAAGTCTCATTGTTGCCAAAAAGAATCAATTACTTAAACAATATGTTGTCTGTACGGTCTATGGAACCATTCAAGCTCTGCTCCGCTGTGCTCCGCTTAGGCATTGACCAAGGTCGACGTCAAAGCCAAGCTGAAGCCGACGGGATCAAAATCGGGACCTGGGCGACAATTGACAAAACGTTGGTGTCCAGCAGAACACAAAGGATGTGTTTGCTCGCAACACAAGGTGTCTAGTTTAGTTATCATCTGCCGTTCAGGGGCCCCGAGATCGAAAGTCAAGGCCAAAAGTCAAGCACTATCTCTCAGTCGCCTCAGTCGCTCAGTGTCTAGGTTGCAGGATACTCTTTGAGCTCGCAGCCTGCTCTTGCTTTGTAGAGCATGGCTCGTCTTGATTAAGACCCTATGAAACGTATACCGTAGTATAAACTTGTAACTTGTAAGAGTTTAGCCGCAAACAGCCAACTGATAACACGACCCAAACAAGTCAAGTAATAGGCACCATTGCTGAGGTCAGCTGGTCTGCTGCTTCACAACTGCAATCCTATTGCTGCAATCCGGCACTGGTTGGACAACCTGTCTCGTAGATTCACCAGGCTTTTGTTGGAGAGTTGTTGTTCTCAATGGGACTGTCAACAATCACCCAACGTGGGCTTTCTTGAAACTGCCGCAAGAAACCACAGAAGAAACAACAATGAAGAACAAGCACACAACGGCCAGTCTCGCACCTGAGATGGTTCTAAGTTCTATATCCTCTGTAAAGACTGCCCAACATATTTGTTACCCGCTCCTACTTCTTAAAGTAGGTGCCTACTTAGCGGTACTTAAGCTACTACATATGGACGCAGGATAACTCACGCACTATTCATTTGGTTCCTGGTCCTAGCCTAATTAGCTCTGAGGCGGAGAGTTTGACCTGAGACAGCTTGTGCGCCTCTATGTACAGACACTGAGGCACCAGGCTGCCCCAGCAGGTCAAGGCAATTCCCCCGACCAGGAAGATCGTGGTGCAGTATGAATGACTGGAGCAAATGAGTGTGGGCGGTAAAGAAACGGTTTCCTGTTGGCTTTTCAGCATTGTTCAAAAAATGGCAAGGGGGGCCTGATCTTGAAGCCACAAGAGGACACTCTCGGAGGTTGTTGAAAGCACTGGGCGCAAAATTGGCCACCTCATGTCCAGCCTGGGGTAAGCTCTTCTCTCGATGCAGGTGGCAAGCAAAAGCACACCCACAGGCAAGAAGGCTCGCACCTCAAGGTCGCCGTGTCACCAATTGAATCACCCTATGTGCAATTGCTACTAGTAGCTACTTGCTCCTAGTAGTACGGCCAGGAGACCCTAATAGCGATGCCAGGAGCCCCTAGTAGCTACTTGCTCTTTGTAGTACGGCCAGGAGCCCCGGGTAGCGTCCTTGCTCCCAATAGCGATGGCAAGAGCCCTAGTAGCTACTTGCTCCTAGTAGTACGGCCAGGAGCCCCTAGT